AAGTCGGCGATCTGCTAACTCTATATCACAACCTCGACATCCTTGTTTCAAAATCAATTCGCCCCCAACAGGCGATACAACACATATAGGAGATGCTAACTGTGCCAACTCCAAACCCAAAACAGATGCAGATGCAGCAGATATAAAAGAATAGGATGCACCCGTATCAATCAACACATTAGCAACCGAGTTGCAAAACAAATAGGTACCTCTCACGACAGATGGAGCCGGTACTAGATCCTGCGCGGTAACAGCATACACACGCCTTGTAGGCCCCTAATCTACCTGCTCACCTCTAGGAGCAAAAGACTGCTGCATAGACTGGGATGACGATGCCCCCTGATTGGCCCTCAAGGCCTGAACTGACTGAGCTGGCTGAAAACTCTGCCTCTGTCCAGATGCACCAGAAGTGCCACTCAATTGCGGGCAAAACCTCTTCAGGTGCCTCGCCTGACCACACTGATAACAAGACAGTGGCTGCCCTCTGCCCTGACTCTGGCTCTGAGGTCGAGCCGATGATGAAGCTGCTCTCTGCCCTTCTCCATTCTGCGGGTAAGCTGGAGACTTGTGGCCCAGCTGACCACATTTGTAACAAGTCACGTCTCCCTGACTGCCTCTTCCAGAGCCTGCACTCGGCATTGGAAAGGTCGATCTAGCAAAACCTCCCTGAGACTGTTGAGGGTTAGAACCCCTTTGTCTCCTGCCATCACCCTGGCCATCCTGACTTCTTTTGGAGCCTTTCTGTCCTTCCTCTTCCTCCTGCATCATGATTTCCATATGGGCTGCAGCATCAACCAGACGCCCATAGTCTCGAGTCATAGACCCCCCAACTCTCATCTTGAGCCCGCGCCTCAACTTCCGCTCAAACTCAATGCAACGGCGTTCCTCGGACGCCACGAGCTCAGGTGCAAACCTGGACAAACTAGTACAAGTGGCCTTAAACTCGGCCACAGACAAACTCATCTGCTTGAGCTGGCAAAACTGATCCCTCAGCTTCTCCCTGACAGTTGGAGATAAGTATTTCTCCTGGAAAGCATCTACAAAAGCCTCCCATGTGCCACCAATATGGCCTCTCAAGAACTTCAACTGCTGACCCGCATCCCCCTTAAGCTGGAAAAATGCCAAGGTCACTTTCAATGCTCTGTCTTCAATGCCAAGCATCTCAAACGTCTTCGTCATTTGTTCCAACCACTCATCTGCCTTAAGTGGCTCCTTCGGATCCCCGACAAACTAATCCGGATTAGACCGGAAGAACTCCTTCTTCAGAAAAGAAGACCCTGCATCAACAACCTGGGCTTGAACTGGATTCTCAGCTCTGAGAATGCCCATGGATTACCTCAAAGCATCAGCTATCCCACGGGCTAAAGCGCTCATAGCCTGCTGACTCGCTGGCTCGGCCACGTTGCCTTGACCAACACCCTCCTACTGCGCCAGAATATCATCCGGCATAGGCATCTCCTGCCTACCATGCCTACCGCGTCTCCCTCCACGTCCTCGTACTCGTCCTGACATCCTAATAAAGGTAACGAAGACATTAGAACACTCACAAATGTGCCGAAGCTACAACACTCGCGTCCTAATGCATGGACATTTGTAATTCACTCCACGTAAGCACATAATCACATAAGCACTTACGAATTTCATTTCCGGATAATGATAGTTCCGAGGCGTCCCTAGAGTTCCGGTTAGAAACAGCATTGATCAAGTGCTTTTCCAACAAGACTCATATAAACCCAAAGATCCAATCAACATCCTAGAAACCAAATCCCATACCCAAATAATCACATAAACAAGTTATCACATAAGCACATAACATTACACTTAAGTCTCTAACAAGCGAGACAAACCCATTGTGATACTAATCACTTCCATGTACCCAAAGTATTCAAACCCAGTACGCTCTGATACCAAGTTGTAACGTCCCCAAAATAAACCCATAAATCATACATTCTTGACATGCTTAGACATAAAAGAATAAAGCATAATTATATATCATCAGAGTATTCATTACAAAATGTATTACATGTTGACAACAAAAGTAAGTGCCCTATAGGCTTATAACTTTCCAAGTCAACACTTGGTTACAAAACGAGAGTACTAACTCAAGATACAAAATAAGCCCTTGGCTTGATATACAAGTAATACAAAATAAACAACAAAAGTTCAACAGCCTCAAGCCTTCCAAGTTATGTCCATGGAGGTGGCATGCTACTTGTACCTGAAAATGATGTCCCACATAGGGTGAGCCAACGCCCAGTAGAGATATGCTAAAAATGATATAAGCAATAACTAAAACATTGGCCATTGATAAATGTTTAACTCATATGAATCAATTCATAATCCGTTTCAATTACATGGCAAAAGTGGCCATGCTTCATTCTATTTTCCATCTCTTATCCAATTCTCAATTCATAACTATGGCTCAGAACCTGGCCAAACAATTTGATTGAGATCACATCTCATATCAACAGTATTTCTATTTTAGATGAGATAATAACTCATATTAAACACTTCACACTTCATAACAGATACACATTTTGGTACTGTATCATTAACACGTAGCAACATTTCCATACTTCACAAATGATACACATTTTAGTGTTGTATCAATGCAGTCCATCCCCTATCTCCTCCCAAACAATATCCGGTTTAGAGGTCCATCCTCTATCTTCCCCTAAACCGTGGAGTACATCCCCTAAACCGTGGAGTACATCCACTATCTCCTCCCACACAACACCATGTATATAAACACATATCATATACATAATCAAATCAATACATAAAATTCATGTATTATAACAACCGCCATATTCGATGGCATACTCATTTGATTAGTTTTAGTTTGCCTAATCATCATGCATTGTCTACAACAATCAAGACTATCCTCCACCGATAGCCCAAAGCAATTATTTCTAATCAGACAATAAATGCATCAACAAGTAATTTATCAACAATTTCAAAAGTGAGCGATTAATAAATCCAACTTCACTATTCCATCTCATATTGAGCTAATCTCATTATTTTCAACTCAATTTCACATTTTCATCATAAATGTCATTAATTACATAAATGACCACATTATACCCAAACATGGCATTTTTCCCATTTTTCCAATATTGACCCAAAGGTCCAAATATCAACAACCAACATCAATAACCTCCCTCTTAGACCCAAAACAATTATATATGAGCCAATGGAATAAAATCCCTCTTTTCATTTTTACATAACTCAAACCGTAACTTCCCAAATATCAACCATTTATACAAATAACTCAACACCTATGTTAAAGCATATAAGAATGAGTAGGAATCCCTACCTCAAATTTCGAAGCTCAACGGAGAAGAAGATGAAAACTCAAAGTGCTCCAAATCACGAGATTCTCGGATCAAAAGGAAGCCCAAACCAAGCTCTGCACTTTTTGTAAAGACACTAAGGGAGTAGATCACTCAAAATAGATCAATCCCTAGAGAAAAGGTGAAATGTAGAGAGAGAGGCTCTGAAAAATGGGTTTTTGGAAAAGTAAGAGAGAGTGGAAGTTGAAAAGTGATCTAAAAAGACCCAGTTGATATCTGATATACGTATGACCCGCTCGAGCGGAGAATAGGATGCTCGAGCGTCAAGCACAAAAACTGGACCCGCTTGAGCGTGAAGGGTACCCACTTGAGCGCCAAGACACAATTACAGAACACACCCGCTCGAGCGCAAAGGGAAAGCCACTCGAGTGTAGATTTTTTCCTTCCAGTACATTTATAGAAAATGAACTACTCGCTCGAGCGCCAAGATACCCGCTCGAGCGCTACCCGCTCGAACGTAAGGAAATTCGCTTGAGCGTGAAAAACACACCTGCAGAAGTTTTGCAGAGGCACGAAATACTAGTAGTGTGTAAACCCCGCTCGAGCGCAAGAAGACCCGCTTGAGCGTATAACCAAAAATCAAACTCCGCTCGAGCGCAAAAGGACCCGCTCGAGCGTACCACTAAAATTCTGGGCAACAAGGAATGAGACTAAAGCTCCACCAACCTGTTCAAAACACGCCCAATACATCCTAAAACTCAAACACAATGAATTAAAGGATAACAACAGGATATACAACCACCAACTCCATGGAACCTAAGTTTCGGAATACAACAATCAAAGGAAGAGAAACCGGGATCGCTATAACCTTCCCCCTTAAAGAATTTCGTCCCCGAAATTAAGGACAAGTTTTTCAAAAACAAGTTTTCTCATCTCCCAACAACATTACATTTCAAAACATAACAACTTGACCCATTACCGGTCATCTCATCTCTATTCAAGAGGCATTTCACAACATTTTCCACAACATGCATTATAAATATGCAATACTTGAAATTTAACAATTTCCAAAACTATGTTCCACAGTTCTATATCATATTTAACGTTCATGATATATTTCCATTTCCACAATACATTCAACATATGCAATGTTACACTAAACTTCCATTTCAAGGCAAGTGTCAAAATACTTCCATAAACCAAAACATATACAATGTTTTACAACTTAAGACATATATAATGCTCTTAAAGTCTATCAGTATCACAAAATCTTACCACTTAAGCAACATACATATTATAATATTAATTTATTTATTATTTATTTTTATTCTTACTTATATGAACGGCACATATATTGCATGTGTCACTTGCTAATCATTATGTACATGATTTATCATTTTTAATAAACATATATACATATATATATATATATATATATATTTTATTTTTGAACATTTGGGTTGTAAATTTAGATAGAAATTTGGAAAGACAAAGGGAAATAAAAGAAAAAAAATATATATTTTGTTGACACTACTTTTACATTTTTTTTTTTAAATCTTTACTTAAATTCATGATCAATACATAAAATAAAATTTTGGCTCATCAATATTAGAAACCTGTCTCATCAATCATCACTGACGTTGGATTCCAATATACAAGCCTACTTAATTCTGTTATTAAACAAGATGAGAAAATGAATCTTTGCAGGTTTCTTTTCCAAAGTTGGAGGCACTATTTCTCGATAATTGTGTAAACTCAAGAGAGATACATCCTTGGAATGTTCAAGCTGGAAAAATAAGTTTAAAATTCCTAGATGTAGCGAATCTGGACAAATTAATTGTGAGAAATTGTAGTGAGGTGGCAGAGGTTTTTCAACTTGAGGGGCTAAATGTTGGAGAAGGACAACATGTTAGGCCATTAATTGAAGTCAGAATGATGGAATTGGATGGATTACCTCAGTTGACATGTTTGTGGAACAAGGATCCCCATGGAATTCTGAGCCTTCAAATCCTACAATACCTAATAATTAAGAAATGTTCCCTCTTGAGAAATCTATTCACATATTCCACCGCCATGGCTCTTCAACAACTTAAAGTACTTTATTTGGAGTCTTGTCCGGTGATGGAAGAAGTTATTGCAGCAACAGAGGATGGGCTCAAGGAAGTGATTGATGATGTGATTGAATTCCCAAAGTTGGAGTGGCTAATACTGAAAGATCTACCAAACCTCAACAGTTTCTGTAATGCAAAATATAATTTTAATTTTCCATCATTACAGAGAGTTGTTCTGAAGAGGTGTTCAAATATGCACAACTTTACTTTTGGACAAGTACGCATGTCACAGATATTTGTAAGTACACATGGCAATGATGGCCTTCAAACAGAAGATCTCAATAAGTATTTAAAGGAACAACTTCTTTTGAAAGGAGAGGTAGACGTTCTTTTTCAACTTGATCTATGGTTAATTATTTTTGTCAGTTGATGAAATCTTTTATCTTTGAATATTTACAAGAGACTACTCAACTAGAGTGCTTCATATGTATTTTTTGTTTATATGTATTTTACTTTCTTTTCTTTTAGGAATGCGCAACCGTTGATGAAAATGATCACTACGGCGATGAAGAACGGTTCTCCAACCTTATACGATTAAAGTAAGTTGATCATCCTTTATTATTAATATATATGTATAAATTTCATAATATTTATAGGAAATTTTTATAATAAACATGTCAAACGTCCAGTTATGATTTATTAGCTCAATATAATAAGTTGATCCTCCTTTATCCAAAAAAAAAAAAGAAAAAAAAAGAAAAGGCAAATTATGATGGTGGTCCCTATATTTTACTTCTTATGTCATTTTGGTCTCTACACTTTCAATTAGCTCAATTTTAATTCCTAATTTTAGATTTTATTTTAATTTGTCCAATTAATAATATCGTTTGTTTTTTTAAGGAAAATTATCACTAAATTGATTGAGGTTAACTAACTGAGTTGAATAAGTTTTTAATTTTAGCCTTAAAAATATGGCACGTGACACGTACATGCTTATTTTTACAAAAAAAAAAATGTTAAGAGTTGTAATCAATTGGATCAAATTGAAACAAAATCATAAATTCAGGGTCAAAATCAAGTGAATTGAAAGTACAAAGACTAAAATGACACAAGGGGTAAAGTACATGCTTTAAAAAATGATGTATTATATGCCTGACTTTTTGTGGTCTTTAGTTATAACTCATTTAGTTATAATTACTTATAGATGTTATTTTGGTTATAATCGAAGAAATCTTTGATAATACCTCAAGTGATATTTGATTATGATGCATTTTAGTGTTGGTTATAACTCGTAATGCTGGCTATAATTTAGTTATAACTTACTGGTCCCGTTTGGTAGAGCTGTGGAAAAGTGATTATAGCTTATAGCTTATAGCTGTGAACATAAGCTGATTTTTGACTTATAAATTAAGCTTCTCCTCCCCCACTCAAAGAATAAGTTGATTTTTGATTTACAAAAAGCTATAAGCTGTATTGTTAAGCTGAACCAAACACATTAAAATATCTTAAATTAGGCTAAAAGCTGAAATAAGCTGGAAATAAGCCCTACCAAACAGGGCCACTGTAATTATTATTTGGGTTTAACCGAAGAATTTATTGGTTATATCTAAAGTGAGATTTAACTTTGATTTATTACGGTCCTTCTACTTATGACTGAAAGTTTTTATTAAAATCACATACAATATCTTAACTTTTTTTGAGGACGAAATAGCATATGATATCAATTAATCTGCAAAATGTTTTCTTACATCAGTTGCGAGGTAGTGAGCAGATTGAACGACCTCTCTGTCTACCTTTTCTAGAGCAACAGAGTCAAAACCTTTACTACAGTGCATAATATCACTTAAAATAGATTGCACGTGGTACACTCCAAAATAGGAATGTTTATTGTAGAAGTTCTTTTTATTTGGCATGTTTGGTACAACTGGTAAGCTAAAAGTTTTTTTTGGATGGGTAATAAGCTAAAAGTTGATAACAAAAAAAAAATAAAAAAAACACCCCCTCCTCCATCTCCTAAATAGTCTTCTTTTGTTTTTAGTTTATTTAAATTATTTCGGTTATGTAATACATAAATAAAAGGTTCACTAAATAATCTAACACATTCTTAAAATAATATATATATATATATATTGTAAATAACTCAAATAATCTATACCAAATACCTTATTATAATATTGCTAAATTCCTAACACTAACAACTTTTTTAATGTATATTTATATATATCTAGACAGGCAATTGATAGAATCATTGTGTAATGCCCCGAAATAATTCCAACATGAATAATACATTAACTACGTACATTCATCAATTACAACCATTCTCCATTCTCAATATAAAAAATATCCAAGGTTTGTACAAGGGTTCCACATGCAAATATACATTCAATGAAAAGAAAGCACCTGAATCTCTAGCATGTGAAACATTTAGTCTTTAACATAAAAGTAAAATAAAAGAAATGCCCTCACGGGCTTACATCTTCCAAGGCTTAAGCCCGGTTACACAAAAGTGGTCTCTCGGACCCATACAAAAATAGCCCTTGGCTAGCAATTTAATCACAACAACAAAAAGAGTATTACTCTTCACGCCTTTAATTCGGCGGGATCACCATATCTTTACCTGCACCAAACCCATAGGGGTGAGCATAAAGCCCAGTAGAGAATCTTTAACAAAGTATGTACATTTATGCAAGATTCACAACATTTAATGTAAATGCACATGTTATTCCATGCCACTTAAGGTAACCTCATGCCATGCTTTTCTTGAAAATCACCATGCTTTTAGTTAACATTATACAATCTCGTCAATTTCCAAACTTCCAATCTTAAATCATGAAGGCGGCGGTAAATACGACACTAGTAATCCCTAGGCTGGTGTCTGCAAGTAGACTTTACGAGTACTACCAAATTGTCATTTTTACTGGTATTAACCAGAAGGCTCGACACCTATCCGCACGATTTTCTGGTCTTTCACCAAGGACACTCAGTCCAACTTATCAAGTACAACTACACCCCCTAACCGGACTTACCACGTATTTACCCCTTTAACATTCTCATAGTTCTCATTACAATACCATTTTCTTTCATATGTAAACATTTTTCTAATTCATGCCAAGAGGTGCAAAAAATGACAAAAGCTTATATGGGGATATGATGCAACAGTTAATATCTCATAACATTTCTTTCATTCTCTTTCCTCCAATGCCATCACACAAAATATTCACGTGCATTACCAAAACTATCAACATAGCAATAACTTCTCATCATGTATAATTCTTGGCATTCTATTCATTTCAAGACTATAAGAAATTCTCAATGTCAACTATCGAGGTTTCAATTCTCCAATCCACGGTACTCAACAATTATCATCTCACAAAATATATTTTCATGCTCCTAGCAATAGTTTTGAAAATAAGTCCCCTACTCTCTACATCAAGAGGATTATCAACTTTCCCTTTTCTACTACATGGTGAAACCCACACACACTCACCCATTTAACACAAGAAAAGAAGTTTATTCTATGGAATTTCCATGTTTTCAAAAAGCCCCAATTTCTAGGATTTTCACAAAATCATAACATTTTTCCATCTCTTAAAAAAAAAAATCCCATAACACATCTCAATCTCAACACTTATGACTCAACATTTCACAAATCCTTTTTAAAGAAGTAAGATGAGTTTTTCTTCAACAAAAATCACAAATCTCTTGAGCTCTAATCCCCATTTTCGAAATACATGGAGGAGCTCACCAAAAATCAACCAAAACTTGCATAAACATACATATAACTCAAAGGAAAAGCCTACCTCAAGCTTGATGAAGAACAAGATGAAACCCTAGAGTTAGAAGATGAGAGAGAGCCTTGGATTTTCCTCCACCCAAATGAAGCCCTAGCTTTGGATTTTCAAGATCTTGAGAGAGATGATGAAGATCATGACCCAAGAATTTGCAAAATCAAAGAGTTGTGATGTTTGAGGAAGTTTTCTAGAGAGAAGGGGGAGAAAAATAGGGTTTAGAGTGAGAGAGAGAGATGTGTATAATGGGTGATATATTCGGACCAAAAAGATACAAAAAATAGAGTTTCGGACTGCCCAGTTGGCCGCTCATGCAGCCTTCCCCACCACTCAAGCGGCCCACCTTGACCGCTCGTGCGGCCCACGTTCTCCGCTCATGCGTTCTCGACAGTATGCAAAATTCTGGGTGTCAAGCTTCACCGCTCGAGCGGCACCTCCCACCGCTCGAGCGGCCCAATTCCACACGTGCGGCCCTGGCCTAGCAGCCCAAAACTTCAACTCCACTCCCGGGCACCCCGGATTCACCCGCACACCCTCCGGAATGACCGAAATTCAACATCGAAAGAATTAAGAATTAGGAAACCATTTCCGGACATTTCAATTTAACGAGAATAAAAAGAGAATGAAGTGAAGAAAGAAAGAAGAAAGGGAAAAAAGGAAGGCCGGTTGTCACACATTGGAAGCCAGCAAACCTTTTTCCTATTAGGACACTCTCTGCTACCTTGGTGCAACTTGAGTTCAGGTTAACTCTGTTACTGTAGGCTATGTTAAAAAATCATGAATTTGTGGAGCGATTGTGGATTCAAATAATAAAAAAAATGAAAAAAAAAATATGAAGAAAATGAAGTAAAATAAACTAAATTTATTTAATCTTTTGTTTTTTTTGTTTTTTCTCTTGATAAATATGCTATGTAGAAATTTAATCATTCCAATCATAAAAAAAATTAGAAAAAAAAACATAACTCAAGATATACATGATACGTTCTAGTCCAGGAAAAGGAAAATGCAAAGAATGAGCCAAAAATCACGTTTTTAAGCTGCTGAATTCGCGCAGTCCCGCACGTGCGCCGCTTTTCCCGCTCGTGCAGGACTGCATGAATTCAGCAGCGTAAAATGGACCTAATTTTAAGGCCTTGGTAATGTTTCCGAGTAATTAAAATTGGGGCGTGACAGATTGTGGATTCAAATAATAAAAAAAAAGAAAAAAAAAAACCAAGAAAATGAAGTAAAATAAACTAAATTTATTTAATCTTTTGTTTTTTCTCTTGATAAATATGCTATGTAGAAATTTAACCATTCCAATCATAAAATAAAGTTAAAAAAAAAAAAAAACTCCTGACAATAAATCTGAACATATAGCATACTAGATACCTCACAACAAAATTCAAAATCGAAACATAATGTTAAGATTTGAGTCCCTTTATTAAAAATTTCTTGAAAAAAAAAATTAATCAAAAGGTACCTGTACATACTAATTCAATAAGAGAAATTATTTGAATTTTTATTTTATTCTTCACAAATCGCTTCTCAAATGCAAAATCTAAAAGTCCATATTAAAATTAAAAAAATTTGAATTTTGTTTTCTTAAATGATTAAATTCAAAATGCTTTTTGTAATTATTAAATCTCCATGCATCTTCCAATAATTTTTTTTTTTGTATATTTTGTTTTACTTTGACTCCATCAATATTTTGGTGTGCAGTTATATATGATCGAGTTCAAGTTGCTGAGATTGGAGTATGCTGGATTACCCTCCTACAGTCAATGGCAAACTTATTGTTTCTTCCAATAAGTTAAAAAGCAAAAAAATAAAAATAAATTGCAAAACTATTCAGCTACCTATAGCTGTATAAGAAATGATACATATATATATATGTGTGTGTGTGTGTGTGTGTGTGTGTGTGTGTGAATATGTGCGGTAGTAATGTCATATTACTATATCTTGCTGATGAGATAGAATTTGTATGATTTCGGAGGCTAGGTGTGCTAATTATGTGGGATACACACTTGCAGGGTATTTTATTTATTTATTTATTTTTGTTGGGATTTTATTATTATTTTTTTATTAGCAAAAAAACACGAGCTATTTTGTTGGGATTTCATAATCATAATTCTATTGAAAGAAACATGGATGAACATGTTTTATAATTAGGCTGGGTAAACTAGCTAGGCTAGGGAGAAATATCGTCAGTCCATGTTAGTTGAGACTCAACATGGAGATTGGTAACAAATTTATCCATAAAAAGATCTTAGAATGTGTTAGTGAATATGATATGTATATTCACTATATATGGGGAGTGCTGGGGGCTTATTGTGTATTTGGAACCCTGAAGTTTTCATGGTGTTAAGTGTGTTGCTACAGCAAGCATTTCATAGTGCTCTTAGGTATGACTTCTGATCTTTTTGAGTGTGCGATTTCAAACATTTACACACCCAATGATGTTGATAGTAGAGGTAAGTTGTGGGACACACTTGTAAGGATTAAAAATGATTTTCAAAAACCTTGGTGTGTTGGAGGGGATTTTAATGAAATCAGGCATTTATTTGAGAAAAGAGGACTATATAGAAGAGATAAGGAGATGAGCAAGTTTGGTAACTTAATTGAAAAAAATGGAATTGGATGATTTAAACGGTAGGGAGAAGCTTTACATGGTGTAATTCACTTGATGGGGAGAGGTGGAGTAGGATTGATAGATTCTTAATTGATCCTAGGTGGCTAGAGAAGTTTAAGTTTCCATTATGGGGTTTTCCTAGGGATTTATCAGATCATTGCCCTATATTACTTGGGGAGGATGATAGGAATTAGGGTCCTAGACCATTTAGATTCTTGATTGCTTGGACCCTACATCCTAATTTCCTTAAAACAGCACAAAAATCTTGGACAAACTCAAAGATTGATGGCTGGGCTGCGTATAGATTTGTGAGGAAATTGAACTCTTTGAAGAGTGATCTAAAAAAATTAAAGGGTCACCAGCTTAAGATGGTAGAGGATGAATTACACGATTTTGATTTGGGGCTGAATCAAGAGAATTACTACCACATGAGGTGTCAAGGAGAAGGGAGGTTAGAAGTTTGGTTTGGAATTTGGAGGGGGAAAAAGGAGTGGGTATAGTTGTAGAAGTCAAGATTGGAATGAACATTAAATGGAGATAAAAACACAAGGTTTTTCCATCTAATGGCTAACAAAAGATTCACCAAAAAGATGGTGGATTCACTAGAGGTTGATGGGGTTAGAGTTGAGGTGCCTGATCAAGTGAAACAGGAAGTGTTAAGGAACTTTTCTATGTTGTTCAATGAAGACTATGTATCAAGGCCAAAGTTAGTACGTTCTATGCCAACAGTGAGCAAATCAAATGTTGTGGAGATACTTGAAGTTGAGTTCTCTGATATGGAAGTTTGAGAAGTAGTTAAGAATTGTGATGGAAACAAGACACCTGGGTAAGATGGGTTTAATTTGTCATGTATTTAGAAGTGCTGGAAGTTCATGAAGGGCGGGGTGATTTAACTTGTGAAGGAATTTCATTCTAATCGATGATTGTGGGAGGCTTGAATTGTTCATTTATAACTTTGATTACTAAAAAGGATAGTCCCAATCGTTTGAGTTATTATATGCCGATTAGTTTAGTTAGTTCTGCTTATAAAATATTGACTAAATTGCTCTCAAGAAGAATTAGAAAGGTATTACCAGATGTAATTAGTGAAGTACAATCAGCATTTCTAGGAGGTAGAAATACTTTTTATTGGATGATGATTGCAAATGAGGTGGTTAACTAGTGAAAGAAGACAAAAAAGAAGGGAGTTGTTTTGAAAGTTGACTTTGAGAAGGCCTATAACTCTGTGAACTGGAACTATCTATTTTCTATGGTGTCCAACATTGAGTTAGGTGATAAATGGAAGAAATGGATGGTTTCTAGTGTAACCAAAGCAAGAGTTTCAGTATTAGTGAATGGGACTCCAACAGATGAGTTTTCTCCTCAGAAATGGATTAGGTAAGGTGATCCTCTTTCACCTTTTCTTTTCAACATAGCACTTGAAGGGCTCAACATTCTATTAGAAAGGGCAAATGAGATAGGGTTGTTAAAGGGTGCTTCTATTGAGCCATTCGAGTTGAAGCTTTCTCATCTTTAGTTTGCAGACAATACTATAATCTTTTATGAAGCTATGGAGGAGGACATTACAGTTATTAAAAGGATTCTTAAATGTTTTGAAGTGATATCAGGGCTTAAGATTAATTTTCACAAGAGTGTAGTGTGTGGTGTGGAAGTGTCTGATGAGAAAATCCAGGAGTTTGCCTCTGTTCTAAATTGTTCAAGTCAAAAACGACCTCTAAAGTATTTAGGTTTTCCTCTTGGTGCTAGCCTGAGAAGCAGGAGGACTTGGAAACCTGTGGTTGATAAGATCAGTTTCAAGTTGGCATCATGGAAGAGAAAACTTTTGTCTTTTGCTGGTAGCCTGACTTTGATAAGGTTGGTATTGTCAAATTGACCATGTTATTATCTGTCTTTATTTTTAATTCCAAAAGGAGTGGCCAAGGTGATTGATAGGTTGCAGGCTTCTTCTCTTTGGAGGGGGTTCGGATCTAAAGAGAAAGATACATATGGGGAGATGTGTCAATAACAAAAGAGCAAGGAGGGTTGGGCATTAGGAGAATTAGGGAAGTGAATGAGGCTTTGTTATTGAAATGGTGGTGGAGGTATGGAGTGGATGACAAAGATTTGTGGAAACAAGTGTTAATTAGCAAGTATGGATCACAAGGGGGAAGATGGTTACTTGATTGGAATTCTGAACAAGATAGGAAGGTATCCAGGATATGGAGTGACATGTTGCAAGTAGTGAGGTCTAACTCTTCCCTTAATGATTTTTATGTAAGTAATATAAAGATAAGGATTGGGGATGGTTGTAGAATTCCTTTCTGGTCTGACAGGTGGCATATGAACATTCAAATTAAGGAAGAATTTGCTAGGTTGTATAGCTTACCTATGGATAAGGAAGGAACCTTGAAGGATTTTGTTCAAAGAAGACAGAGATCTGGGGGTTCGGTGTTTAATTTTAGAAGGACTCTTCTAGCTTGCAAAGAGGAGAAGGTTTTTAGATTACAAGGCTGGTTGTCAAATGTACCAGATCTTAGTTTAAATAGCCCTGATAACTTGTCTTGGGAGGCTGCTTCTTTAGGTCTTTTTTCTGTTCCATCAGTCAGGAATTGGTGTGAAGCCAAATGTGGACCTAGGCTGAAAGTAGCTAAGCAGATGTGGCAAAATGCAGCTCCACCAAAAGCACAATTCTTTGGTTCGTTAGCATGGAAAGGTAGGGTCAAAACAACAGGTTTGTTACACAACATTGGGGTCATTAGATGTAGTGAAGATACTATGTACCCTTTTTGCGAATCTTAGGTGGAAAGTGGGTCTCATGTGTTGATTCACTGCCCACAAGTATGGAAGATGTGGTCAGCCCTGCTGGATTGGTGGGGAATTAGTTGGGTTACACCTACAAATGTAGAGGGCCTATTGAATTGGTGGATGGGGATGAAGTTTAGAAAATTAGAATTGCAGAGCTATTACCTTTTGCCATGTTGTGGTCTATTTGGAACGTAAGGAATGTGTATGTATTTAATGGCCATATACCAAACTTTGTTGAAGTTGAGGAGCTTGTGAAGGTAAGGGGGGCAATGTGGGTGAAATCAAGTTTGAAATGTGTCTATTTTTTTGTTCATGACCTTGTCTCAAACATTAGGGAGGTCAGGTTTGCTTGTAATGGTTGGTGTTAATTTTGTCTAACTGAGGATGGGTTGGTAAGCTTTGTTCTATAGCTGTTGTGGTTGTTGCCCTGTTGGTATCTCACTAGCAGTGGGCAGCTACAGTGCATATGAGTTGGTGTGCCTTGCAGTGTCAACATTGTTGTGATCTATAGTGGCTTGCTGTTATGCTTGTGCAACTGTTTTTTCCTTTATTAGTGTATTCTATACTCTTGTATAGTTTTCATCGTCAATGAAGTTTCTTTAGTTGATAAATATATATATATATATATTCAGTATATATATTAGATGTTGTAATTAGGTTTTACCATATCAAGATATTTTATAACTTTCTTGTTGCCCACTCTTACCTTACCTATATATAGACATCTTCATTGTATTGTAAGATACATAATATTGAATATACACATAATATATAATATTCTCTTTCTCTTTCTCTTAGATATTGTAACATGGTATCAGAGCTATAGGTTATGCTCTTCGTGTTCTTCGTTTTACCGTTGGGTGGCAACCTTGCCTTGGCCACTCGCCGGACCTCAACCGATTCCACTACCATATTTTCCTTCCAATATCACTTTGTGGTGATTTCCTTCTCTGTTCACTAGTTTCTCAATGTTACTTCATCACCAGCTAAAGTTCCTCAAAGTTCTGCTGCAGCTTTCCACTCCGTCTTTCCCTCTGCTTTAACCTCAAATATTTTTTTTTTATCTTCAAACCTATTTGAGTTTGAGGGAGGATCTTATACCTATATCATGGTGAGCATGGTTATGCCATGCAAACCACCTAAGCCACCCCCTTGACGCACTTCTTAAGTCGCCCCCTTGGTGCACTCCCTAAGCGGCCCCCTTGACGCATCATCCAAGCCGCTTTTTGGTGCACATGGTTCCTTTCCGGTTCAAACTTCTGCTCCCAGCTTCTTCTTTGACAGTCTGACACAACCTCACGAAAAACTGTCTTCCAGTATTAGCTCCGGCTAGTTTCTTCAACAGTCTAGTGCGACCTCACCAGAAACTGTCTTCTAGCATTGGCTCTAGCCAATTTCTATAACGGTCTGACACAACCATAACTATCTCCTCGCATTAGCTCCAACCTTGCTACTACAATGGTCTAACATGACCATGAACTGTCTTCCGGCATTAGCCTCAGCTGCTCCTACAACGGTTTGGCATGACCATAAATTGTTTTCCAGCATTATTATTTTCATTTTATTTTATTTTCTCTAGTTTCTCTTTCCAAACTCTAGTTGGTCTCTTTGCAACCACCTTGAGTTTGCGGAAG